TAATTTATTTAAACTTTATGCAAAATAACATTACAAAGGCGGATTTAATGCCATAGGCATTCTAAGCAGTCAACTTTAGGGTGATGCAGAGAGAGTGTGGTATGGTATTTCTGCCTATTTGTGTACTAAGTGTGGGTGAGCCATGCTTCGGGACGAATGGGTCGGCTCGACCGGAGTGATACCACGGCCTTACAGAAAACCGTCGTGAAGAAACATTTACATTGTGTTTCGTCGTCTGAGTGAGGTTACTGGAGACTTCTTCTTCACCCTCACTCCATCCTGAATCCTCAAATCCCCAATCTCTTAATACCTAATAACCCACAAGAGCATAAACCCAACGCACTTGTAGTAACTCCTTTGGTACTACGAGTGTCCATGGGTGGCGCTGATTGCTTACCATCAGGTCTGCTTGTTTGCCGACAAAGACAAAAAAACGCTTTTTTCAAAAGATGAAAGTTTTCTTCAAATATTGCACAGCTATGTAGATAATTAATATAATGACTATGTTGGCCTTAACCTTTGTTCTGCGGTTACCACTTGTGTCTGTCTGTAATCACGAATTCCTAGAACTGATAAGATAACACTTGTTCTATATGATTACTATCCTAATATTTGATTAATATAACACTATTAGTACATTTATTCACGAGAAGTGTTCATTCGATACAATGTTCTTTGTTTAAGTATTATTTTGAGTAAGGAGTTACAATCAGGTTCACGTGTGTCTTTAGTTAACTTTTCAATTCTTTTCCAATGCTCTTCTGAAATAGAGATATCATACTAATATTATAAAATGTGAAAGTTTGTGAAAATGTATGGATGTATGTTTGTTTGTTATTCTTTACCTCAAAAACGGCTCGACCAATTTAGTTGAAATTTGGTAGGTATGTAAATAGGTGATGTGTGTAGTTGATAATTATGTATGAAATATGTAGGTTTAACACATTGGTTCTGCCCTGGTTTAACACATAGGCTCTCTGGGCTTTTTTTAGCAACATACTAAGCGGGGGAAAGCGTAGAGGCCTAGAGTTTCTTAATTATAAATCCTGCTTTGTTTTTAATGATGTCTAATGTTTGTAAAATATATTTTTCTTTACCTACAGCTTACAATAAGAAAAACCAAAATATTTGGATAATAACCTCCTTTTTTATTAAAGTAATTTAAAAACTGTACCTAAAAGTCTAATTATAATAATGAGATAGATAGATAGATAACACTATACTATACTAATTATAACCATAAAATTCCATAACAACTAGTATCAAAATAATATACATTGAGATAGATCAAGGTTCGACGGAACCTGACAAAGGAGAAATAACATTGTAACGAAAACGGTTTAACCCCTGACAACCCTAAAGGCTTTTATAAAAATATCCGATTTGTAAGTATGACATCCATCATTCAATGACCTCTGACATTTACATGTCATCGAAATCAAAAGTCAATGTCAATAAAAATAACTTGCATAAAGTGTATGACCAATATACTTATACAGGTTGATTCAAAATTGGGTATATTTCAAAAATAAAATATTTCAACTTTTCAATTCAATGAAATGTTTAAGCAATCGTAAGTAGTTCTTTTACTTTACGTTACATTTATTTTTTTATGAATTTAAATTGTTATTTTTTACGAAACAATAAAATACAAATGTTTATAAGACTTCGATAAAAGTTTTGAATTTGACTTTTGGTAAAATACCATTTTTTTTATGTCCGCGAAACTTAGGGTTGTCCAATATCACTTAGAAGTACAGTTGTCTCACTGCATTGGTTAGAAATCGAAACTTTTATTGTTATCAACAGTCCGTCGCAGTCCACTGTTGGAACATGGACGTAGATGAGCTATATAAGAGTGCTATCTCCACTTTTTGATGGGCGATTAGAGATATCAGCAGATTAGAGATATGAGCATTTTAAAAGTTTAGGTAAGGTTTATCAAAAAGTTCTATGCTTTCCAGTCTTTACTTTAATAAAGCCTTTATTCAGTTAAATCACATTATTTCTTTTTATTATTATTTGAATCACAGTACCACGAGAGAGAAAAATTGAATTTTATGCATTTTTCCCTCTGAAATAAATAAATCTAGTTACGAACTCACACAGCCATGTAGAATGTCACGTCAGCACTTGCGGTTACAGACAAAAGTAAAATTTACATTCAAATTTGGACTTTATTTAAACTTATTTAAATTTAAATTAGTTACAGAAAGGTCAAAATCCTGCGCGATCGTAATTTATTATTAATTTAATTTATTTGTGACACGTTTTTATTAAGTTCTGCATGTCCACTGATTTTAATTTTTAGAATTTATGAGTGAGATATAACGTGATGTTTTATAGCTATCTTCGATAAATGGACTAACGAACGCAAAAAGGATTGTTCAATTCGAACCAGTAATTTCGGAGATTAGCACGTTCAAATAAACAAACAAACTCTTTAGCTTTATAATATTAACCATAGATTAGTACAGATAATATCTTAAATTTCGATCTCCAATATTAAAAAAAAAGTAAAGATATTTGAATAAATAAAATAATCATAGTTATATTAGATAAAAAAAAAACAAACTAAATCTCTCATTGGCGGGTATAAATAAATATTTTAAAACTAAACATTTAGCATCACCCTATAACTAAATGCGTGTAAGCACGAATGTGTGCGTAGAGTCCCCCCGAGGATGACGTCAGTTCCGCAGTCAAATCACTTCCGGGCGCGCCTGCGGGTGCTTTGACGTTCACTCTTTGTTGGGTCCGTCACACGTAAAATTATCTCCTGAATGAGTCGTGTGATTAGCCACGTGGAAATTGTGGCCATCGCTTAGTTATTTAACTATAGTGGCACTTAGATGTTGCTTGTATTACTTACTGGAATTACGTTTGCTTTGATTCGAGTCGAGTCTAAGTTGTGGAAGTAGGGAATTTTGTAAGAGTGGGAAAGGGATACTTCCGGACGAATGGATCGGCGCAACAAGCTGTGTGAAACAATGCTTGCTTTATGTTTGGTCGAGTGATTGAGATTATAGGAAGCCCAATCCACCCAATCCTTCACCACCAAATCCCTTTTCCTTAAAGCCTTAATGACCTACAAAAAGCCTACAATGCACTTGTAGTAACTTCTTTGATATTATGAGTGTCTTCAGGCGGCGCCGAGTGCTTACCAGCAGGCAATCTCCGCGGTCGTTAACCAACCTATTTCTTAAAAAAAAGAAATAAATGATCAGCTACAAACTCACAATTTCTCTTGTGTTACAGTTATTCAACAACGGCGTCGATTGTTCACCATCAGGTGATCAGTCAACTCGTCAATGGCGGATTGACGAGTATATAAAATGTACGACGCACATAGGTATACAAGCTTACTTGAGATAAAAAAAGTTTAGGCCGTCTATCGTAACTTTTAGTTTTCCAAATTAATTGTCATACACCAGGCACCGTTCTAGACTTCATGTTACAAAGGAAATCTAAAACATTAATTTAAATAACTTTCTCAATCTCCAAATCCCTATCCTGAAATTTTTCCCATTCTGTTTCCCATTCGTTTCTACGGGCGGTTATGATTGCTTACCATCAGGTAATCCTTCTGCTTGTTTACCACCATAAGTCATTTATAAATAAGCTTTTTCTAACCCGGATTTGAAATCGATGAGTAAAAGTATATTGTTGGATTCTAAACTAACTCGCTTATCTAATAGCTCTGATTACGTAAGTTCTTCAGTTTCAGACGTCATTCATGCAAAGATTGAAGGCGTATGTTTGTTAGTTTACAGATATTTTCAGGAATAAAATTGGAAAGTTGTTTGTTCTGACACTGTTATTTCTTAGTTTATTTATGGTCTTAGAACGTCAACTATAACTTCAAAATTAAATATGATGGTCTCTTTTGAGTTCCACGTACAGTACACGTAAATCGTATAGTTACCTACAAATGTAATGACAAAAAAAAATTGGTCTGATTAAAAAAAAATCCGAATAAATTATTTCCTCTATTCCAGCCAACAAAATAAAAACAGCACATTCATTATTCAATTAAGAGTAAATTGAATTCGTTAAAAACACAGAATAGAAAAATATTCAGAATGCAAAACATTTTTGTTTTTTCGTATGAAAATTTTTGTGTAACAAAAAGTATCGTGATCGTGACACATATTACTCTACTAGTTTCAAGTCACAAGGGGACTCTTATATATGTTTTAAATCCTAAACGTTTTCTGAGTTAAGTAGTAAAAAGAGTAAGAAGTAATTTTCAATGAATTTGCTTAATTAATTATTATGTTTTCGACTTACTCACGTACGGCGACTGAGTAACAGCGCGACAGTCGCCGAGTCGCGTGTCACGGAATGCTGCTCATGAATATGGGCCTCTAGCATGGCTTGAAACTGGTCGAGTATCTCGGCAAATTATTACGTGAGTAATAAAAAATATAATAATTAATTGAGAATTTCTCACGAAAGTTATAATAAGGATTTACTTAAACATGTTTTCTGATAAAAATAATAACTCAGTACCAAAATCAAAGCTTAGGAGCGGATAAGTATGTATTTTCCTTCCACATATTAACGCAGGCCTAAACATACTACAGTAACAATAAATTATAAGGTGTACAGGATATAATGAATGGAGTGTTTATCCGTTATTTTTATCCAAACTTAATACTGAACCAACTATTTCCAGATACTGCCAGTTCGGTAGAAAGGTAAACAATTTACATTCGCCCTGTTGTATACCTACGTAAGTATAAAAGTAAATTATTTTCTCGAAACTGCAGCTCAAGTTAAAATAGGTAATTCTTTTATACTATCTTTCGGTTTTATGAAATTTTGAAACCGTTTTGGTTATTGAACTCGATTGGATTTGAACTACAAAAAGGCCAAGAAATGCAAATGGTGTGCATACTTATACATATTTTGTAATGTTTATATTTAAGTACTTACTGTTTCTTTTAAATTACAATTTTATTTTTGTTAAGCAGATAAGTAAAGGTATTGGTATACAATCATTTCAGTTGTAACTAAAGGAAAATAAAAAATTATGTACGAATTGTATGTATACGCGTAACTCCGAAATGACTGAATTAAATTGGATAATCGTCTTTCCTCATAGTAATTTATAGTCAGATGATGTGATTGTAAAGAAAAAATTTGGAAATTCCTCTGTGATTTCTGGAAAGCAAGAACCTAACTATTTCGCGAGGCTGGGGCAAGCCAATAAAAAATATAATAAAGATATTTATCCTAACAACGCAAGGTGACATTAAATCTAAATATTTCTAAGAATTTACATCTAAGACTACTACTAGGTGTAGGCGATATAAGTTTTCCATCAAAAACAAAGCGTAGGAAGATAAATAAATATTTGCAATGCACGTACACAGACAGTTTGTTAGCAGTATAAATAAGATTATGATGTACATATGTAGTTTACGTAAACGGATGCTGCATAATACCTATGCGGTTCGATCAAGCATTTAGCATTTAAGTGTGGGAGAGCCATGCTTCGGCACGAATGGGTCGGCTCGACCGGAGTGATACCACGGCCTCACAGAAAACCGGCGTGAAATAACCACTGCGTTGTGTTTCGCCGTGTGAGTGAGGTTACCGGAGGCAATCCTTCCCCTTCCCGAATCCCTCCTCAATCCCTAAATCTCCAAATCCCTAATCCCTAAAAGGTCGGCAACGCACTCGTAACTCCTCCGTTGCGAGTGTCCATGGGCGGCGCTGATTGCTTACCATCGGGTAATCCGTCTGCTCGTTTGCCGAGCTATTACATATAAAAAGCATGGATTTTCCTGTATCTTTAATGATAAAAAAAAGAAAAATGTACGCGAGTATTTCTGTCGTCAACGTCTTCGCAAAACATTCATTGAACTATCGTATCAAATTGATAGGGTCTGTAGTTTTATTCTAGCGTAAAACGTTAAAAAAGCTTGTTGACTGCACGATTGGCGCAGTAACTGGACAACTGGCTGCTGTGCAACGTGTCGTCGTTTGATTCCCGCACGGAATAACACTTTGTGTGATCTACAAATTGTTGTTTGGCTTGTGTATATGAATTTGTATGTGTGTAAACGCAACCACGACACTAAGAAAGTGGCAAAGTTTCTTTAAAAAAAAAACTACTTACATAGGTATGTATACAACCATATATTGTAACAAAAGTTATTCCAGCCGCACCACTTAAATGCTCCCATAAAAGAAAATTCCTTCGCTCGACACAAATCCGATTTCGTAACGAATCGATTAGAGAAACTAATAGAATCGATTGCCAAACTCGCAATGGAATTCTAAACATCTTTCTTTTGTTAAAATAATTGTGAATTGTGATGAAAATTAAGCACGTGGAACGATAAGCTCACGACTATTTTTATCAAGAAAGTAGGCAGATTTTAGTGGACTCATTTTATTTATTCTTTTTACTATCAAACCGAGGGAACTTGTTACTATAACATAAATTAAAATTTAATTCTATTAAAAATTCTACTGTACTAAATAATTTTCTTTTACTTTTTTTCTTTTGTATAACGTGTGTGTATCAATTACGAGTAATAATAAAACTGTATATAATTTTGACATATATCATGTAAGTAAACTGTTTTCTGTTTAGTTTGCATTATTTTAATATTAGATTATAACTTATATGTGTGGTGTAAGCTGTTTAATGTAAGTATGGTATTAATAAATAAGTAAACATTTATATTGGAAATGTAAAAGTTGGTGAGACTACATGTATGTATGTTTGTTATTCTTTCAACAAAAACAGCTAGACCGATTTATTTTAAATTTCGAATGTAGATAGGTGATACTCTGGATTAACAAATTGGCTTTTTTTTGTCAATACCACACGGGCGAAGCCGCGGCCAGAATTGAGTATATAAAAAACTAGCTAAATTCTGGAAATTTGACTAGCGGTTCCAAAGATTACCTCCTACATATAAACTTACACATTTTACCTCTTTAAAATAATCGTACAGATAAAAATATTGAGCTTACATTCAGCTGAATTTCGAATTGAGAACCTCGATAATACAGGAGTTAAAAGACCGAGGGTAAACTGATTATAGATAGCAATATTGAATAAATAAAGTGGCCAATAATGTTAATTGAAATGCCATCGTTATTGCCCCTCGACTAAACGATTGTGATTGGACAATTTAATTGACGGCGATTGATGATTTAGATATAGAGAGAGATCACAACTCTCAATTTTGACGTCGATGAACTTTCTTTCTTTATTCCACAAAACATTTATTTCAAGAACTAACAGTTACTATGCAAAATATTCCACACAATACAACTGACTCAACTGTCCAACAAAGAAAATGCTATTGTAGAAGAAAATAATTGTTACTCGTAATTGCAGTGCATTGCAGTATAAATAGAGGCAATAAAATACTTCAACGGTATTATACAGAAGTGAAGGATTCAATTAAGTATAAATAGCTAGTTATATAGTAATAAACAAGGCAAAACAAGGACTAAGATCAGCAGTATACAATATACGAAAATGTGAACAGAGTGTAAATTAATACACGAACATTTACCTGAGTAGGTAAACTCATGTGTCGACTGATAATAAACGTATTATGAACGCAGTAACAAAGTCAAATGTAATATTTCGACTCTGTGACTCCGTGCAAAGTTTTAATGCGTTCATATTTAAAGGCAGTGCGAACAACAAGGTATGCGTTAGCGACTTTGAGTCACCAAAGGCCATTTAGCACAGATTTAGACGATCCAAATATTTTCACGGACGACGCTCTTGCTACACTCGGTAAGCAAATTATTTACGTCTGATATACCGAAATTGTAACGACACACATATATTTTTTGGAACATTGCAGCACTTGTATTAAAACCATATACATTATGAAATGTTTGACGTAATTTCCATATTAATAATGTTTATCCTAAGTTATAAAGATACTGATAGCTCATCATTTTGATTGTTTGCAACAAACATGTTTATCAAGTAATTACACACAACCGATATTATATTTGGTCTCGATCTAATTATCATTGTGATTGTGTGCATACGTGATTCTGATAAGTCTTATCAAATGACCGCAGTCCGCAGTCGCGTAGACCGAGAACAGCTGTCTATCACCTGTTCAGCTTTTGTTAGAGAACCATGAAATTGTTCATTGATTTATCTCGATCTGTCAAACTTTAATACATTTTCAACCTTATCATTTCGCTTTAATGTTGAATTCTGTCCGATGCTGCATAACCAACAATGCGGCACAAGAACAATGTCATGAACGTACATAACAGAAATCAGGAATAATGTGTAATTTCTATCTGCGTCAGACCTATATACCGGGGCGAGTCAGACCAAGGCATTATGTGGATCGTAAAACGAAAATACTAGTGTAATTTGAAACAGATCCAAAATGAAAATTCATTCATGCTCTCATTAAATATTATTGGGTTTAGAAACTTGGTAATCAAGTACATAGAACCAAATACATTGAGTGTGTGAATAAAATATGCTAACTATTTCATATGGGTCAAATAACAAGCGTATTTTATTTCGTTTCTAAGTGCGATGTGTGCGTATGCAGGAGCCACATGGTCATGTGCCTAACATAAAATATGTGATAGATGTGTTTTTAAAATAAGAAGTAGTTTAATATTCATTGGATACGTTTAAATTTATAACACAATACGCATACCCATGCGTTCGTAAAATGTTCTGACTCATTCCAAACATTTCCATTTAGCAAATGGAACATAATAATGCTTAATCTAAAAACTGTAGAGGGCAAAATGTTTAACATTATATCAATAATGTAAATGTTTACAACTTACCTGTATGCTTGTCTATTATGTTGATGTAATTATAAATGACGCTGAATTGTCCAGTTATAACGTATATTAATGATAGGGCTTAAATAAATAATTTGTTACAATTTTGGTTTAACATTACATGCAATGCTACACACAACAATACACACTAAAGCATTCGAATTATTTAGGGCATCAGTCACAATGTACGTGTAGGTTAGTCGTCATTTGTTTCGTAACAAACGTAAAAAGTATTTGCCAACGGCTATCACGATTATAATCACTGCACACATAATCACAAGATGCGGGGATGCCGGTCCAGGGGACTCACCAGCGCTGCTCGTGCTCTTTTCAGTGTCTTTTGCCGTAAACCGCACAAATTCTTGCAGGTGACTCGGTAACTTTTTAACGTCCTTCTCTTGGCCACCTTCAATCACTTTAATTTTATGTTCAATCACTTTAGGCTCTTTGTACACGTTATAAGATTCTCGCTCGTCTTCAGTTTCGGGGTCTTTGATACCTAGTTTATCCCACCGTTCCCTAGCTTTAGAAATAAACTCTTTTTCTATTCTATTGTTGACTTTAGTATCAAGAATGTCAAGAGCTGGCATACTTTTTGAAATCGTTATGTGATTCGTAGAAGATGGTGTATTGGTAATTTTAATGACTTTATGTTGCCGCCTTTCCTCTCGTTCTGCCATTTGAGATACGTATTCTGAGTACATTTTTTCGCGAAGTAGTTCCTCTTGACTGCTGCTGAATACCGAAGACAACTTTCCTTTTCTATGCTCAGATCCATGAGATGTCATAACTACATCTTTTTTGCGCGATATAGAATAGTTATTAGAATCTTTTATTCTTTCATCAATCACTTCCTTTTCTGATATCAAAGGTGCTCTAGGTCCAGATTGGTTTTGCATCTGGGGAATATTGCTTTTTAAAGCTTCGAGGCGTTGGATTTCGGCTTCTACTTCTTTTTCTTTTTTACGGATATATTCCATTTGTTGTTCACATAAATCTTTTGGTAGTGAAGGTCTTCTCGGACATTTATAGTCGTTTATCTCGTCTCTTTTATCGGTGAAGAAACGATGCATATTTTGTATTGAAGAGACATCACTTTCAATTTCTTTATTTAAGTTTCCAGTAGAATAATGGAAGAATTTTCTTTCACTCTTCATTGACCTCATTGAACTATCAGTAAAATCAGAACTTTCATCGCTTTCATAAAATGATGATGAATATTTTTTAGGTCGTGGAGGTGGAATCGGCTTAAATGAGAAGTCTCTATTTGCAAATCGATCATGATTACTTTTCATGAATGTTGTGGTAGTACGTTTTCTTTGAATATCATCTGTACTACTGTTTAACCTTTGGTTAAGAGAATTTATATTATTTGTGAGAGTAGGATCACGAATCAAAGCCAGCAAACGGCTTCCAGTTTGAGATTTAAATGGTATAACTGGAGTATTATCGGTATCACTTTCTTCTCTCTCCTTGTCACTTTTGTATTGTTCGTTATAACCACGACGATCTACAAATTTTCTATGCATATCAACAAGATGGCTAGCTTCGTCTTTTGTTATAACAGTATTAGTTTTTTCCATTAGCATTTTTTGTGAAGGAGAAAGACAAACGTAGACAGGTTCAGTTTTTGTAGGTACACCAGTCCAGTGTTCTTCTTCTTGGGACGTTTTCCTTAGTGAAGAACGTCGAGGCTTAACTGGTGGAGGTACGGGATCTTTAGTTTTAACTGGTATAGTAATCGTGTCAATCGATGAGACATCAGGTAGCCGATAGTGTGGCATCTTGTCGGTGTCTGGTTTTTTATCTATTACTTTTGCTGTAGATCCGAAAAGTGCAATATTTTGTAAACGTTCGGATACTGATGCTAATTCTTCAAGTATTTTCTTACCATAAGGCAATGTTGCAATGTTTCTGACACACAAATCTCTCAATTTTAACGGTTCTTTTGTGTCATCTTCGGTTATGGTCTTATTTTGATGTGAGGCTCCTGTAACACATTCAAATACATCTTTGACATGACTAGTAGTTGAAGACAATTGTTCTGAGTTTGTCTTGTTATTCATAGTGGTTTCATCATGCGACATGCTAACAATATCATTTAAGGAAGAATAATTAGGGTTATATTTTGCCGTGCATTGAGAGGAGCCCACACTGCTTGAAGAATCCTGACGTGAAAATGTTCCTTTTACATTCTCATTTGTTTCCTCCGATTCAGAAACAACTTCCTTAATCAAGTTATTTATTGCGTCATTAAACTCGCATTTTATGAGTTTCGACTCTAACTCGTATTTGTTTTGCTTTACTTGCATTTTGTTGTCATCTTTATTTAAAGGTTCTTCGATATCTTTGACATATAGGTTGGTTTTAATATTATCCGTCGATAAAACTACGATTTCATGAGAATTTTGACTAGAAATATTTTCAACAATATTTTTATTTTCTTCAGAACACTTCTCGGTTTCTAGCCTTGATGTGGAATCATTTTCGACTTTGCTAGTACTCGTGTTACTACCCACGTCATTTTTATTGGTATCCTGTTCTAAGGCTACTTTTATAATATGTTCATTAGGTTTTGTTCCATCACTAGGTAGATGTTGAGTGTTTGCTTTCATTTCTTTTTCATATATAACTTCTATAATCCTTTCAGTCCTCAGTTTCTCGGGTACAATAGTTTCTGTATTTACACTTTGATCGTTTTCCACTTGTACCTTAACTACGCGCTCGTTGCTTATATTTTTCTTGTCTGTGTCTTCACTTACCTTTTCATTAGCCATAATTTTTATTGGAAGGTCTTTTGTTTTATCAGTGTTAGTAAATATATCTTGCTTGTCGTTACCAGTGTTTGAAATGAAAGTTTTCTTGAGGAAATTTTCTGTATCGGTAACTTCAATTGTTGGTGTGATCATACGCACTGATACATCAGTATCGACACCATCATCTTCATCACCGATTTCATGAAGCGAACTTGTACTACTGGATGTATCTGTTAAGTAAACAACCTCGGCGCCAGTCATTTTCTCAACAGTTTTCATAGTCCAATCGCCTCTGGCTTCACTTACTTCAGGTTCTTTAATTTTAGCACCTACTAAGAGACACTCTTGAGGTACTAGTTTTCCAAAAGATTTTTTAGGAACGGCAGTGGACATCATTTTCTTCTGTTTAGTTAATTTGTTTTTATTATCTTCAAATACTTCGTCTTCCAGATCCTCAACATCACTCCTCTTGTCACTGAGATAAGATTGACGTCTCGAGGTCATAGATGACCCGCTACTACCTTCTTCATCAATAACATCTAACATTCTTGGAGGGCCTAACCTGTGTAAGAAAAAGTCATCAGCCATTGCTTTTTTGCGCAACCTGTGTTTAATTTCTTGGTTTATTATTTCTTCGATTTCAGTTTTTATTTCTATAGAATTTGTGCCATCTGGTTGAGTTGCCAAGTTAAGAGTATTCAAATAACTTCTTAAAGATTTTTCTTCATCAGGTGTCAAAGATTTTGTCTGTTCACACTGTGCTACAGTAAGAGGGATCGAGGTAATTGATAAAGTTCCCGTTACCAGTTCTTGTGGCTGTTTAGCACCGTCGTTAAGCTCTGCAGCATTTTCCCACTCCACATCAGAATCAACATGCGTGACTATGACATTTTGAGTGTCTATTAAAGCCAAAGCATTTTCATTTGAAGGCTCAGCTGAAATATCTTCCGTAATATCGACAATTTTAGTAGCTTCATCATCATCCAAACTTTTACTTTTGCTTGATAATTTGCCTTTACTTTTGCTATGACGGGATTGGCCAGGAGCTTCAACAACATAAGCTGAAGCATCTACAGTATCTACAACATGGCATTTCTCTGTTGGTAAGATCGGCACATTGTCAGTAACTTGATCGTTGTTGTTATTTAAATCACCATTCAAATTAACTACATCATTAGAAGTACTACCTGTCACGTTTTCATTTTCAAACGAAGGTTGCAAAATTTCCTGTTTAATTTCCTTCGTGTCAATTGATTCATTTTCAACTAAATCCTCTTTGCTGTCCGTTTTACTATTACACGATTCAGCACTGTCCAATTTTTTCTCATCACTATTATTTTTGATCACTTCTGGCTTATTGTTTTTATTTTTACGTTTGTTTTTATTATTTTTACGGCGCTTCGGTCTTTCAGGCATGTTTAAAAATCGCTACACCGTTATCACTAGCACAACATAATCTTTATCACACAACACACACGATCCATTCACAGACGGCTCCACGCGTCTCGCGACACCGGTATCTATTGCGTAGGAGTGACGATTCCGTCGATATTCGTCTAAACGTATTTTAGGGATTTCGCGTCGTTTGTATTTAAAACAAGGGCTCACTGTAGAGGAACGTGAGATTCGGGTTCGAGGTTAACGAATGTGATTTTCTTTTCGGCGAGCGGTCGCCGGCCGCGGCAGTCATGCACTCGCACAGCGATTTACTGATAATTATAAATGGGTTGAAGTGCGAGAGCGCGGGCCGTGGACTTTATTTTTACGCGGAGACGTGTACGCTCGTGGTGCGCGCGCGACTCTACACAGCGAAGGGAGCCGGCTCGCCGCCGCCCGCTACCAATACTGTCCGACGGTATTATCATCGAGCGCACTTCAAAACGTATATTGCTAATTAATATTGCACACACGCATCTTACCATTTTAGGGAGGAATAACGGGGAAGGAACTTTAAAACACAATGGATTCTATTACTTATTAGGATCGGATAGGACGCACACAAAATTCTAATTCTAATTCATTAAGCAATAAAACTCTTTGGTGAGTTTGGTTATTTGTTTGTGATGATTCAGTGTTTCGAATTGTGGTTTTATTGCGCGGTTACTGAGTGCTGTGTAGGTGCAGATGTCGAGAGTAATATTTGACCAGATGCAGACTTCTTATTGTCCGTCGTTAAAAACTTCTATTAATATTTAAATTACAATAAATAGTGATTATTATGTTGTTATAGACGTATTTTAATATATTACGAGTCATGTGAGTGCATACAAAAAACACCTGCAACTTTGTAATACCATTGTGTCAAAGAGGAAATCACGACCTTCGTCTGTGTATTGTGTATTGTAACTGAAACCTTTACTAAAGTAAAATTTACAATTTGATAAACTCTAATTACGATGAAAATTAATCTACAGCAACCATATTATCTTTTTGTTCACCTTGAGATAACATTAAATATGACATTTAACTATTAGTTTAATTTAGTAAAATAAATATTGATTTAAAAAGAGCGAAATAATTCGGAAGTAGGTTAAGAAAATAACGAATAATCATAATGAAGGAATGTTATCATTAAAGATAATTTATTTGGCAATATTATCTAATCTTTAATAATTCATTAGGCACAGAAATAAGGTCGAAATTCGTGTGAGCAAAAAAATACACCCGTATATTTTACTAAGCATGGTTATTAAAAAATGTATCAAGCTATCCCACTTATAACAAATACTTATTAAACCTTATCACTTTGCGATAAAGTTGAAATTTTAGTAAAGAATTAGGGATAGCTTGATTTGTTGGCATCAATACCTAATATAACTGTAAAACCATTTAAATAATTTCATATCTAAATACAATTTGACATTGACCAAAGTCATTCGGTTGCAACGTCGATTTACGGAACAATTCCTGACTTAAAACCTAGATATTAGAAGAAAAAACTAATGACAAATGCAGTGGTGTGCATCGAAGGAAAGGATTAACCTAAATAAAAAACAATCTATAAAAATCTTACTTTATATTATTCTATGTACATTTTTAAAGAAAATACGTGATATAATTTAAAATATCGTATTCCAAATTTAATTGTAATAAAAAGAAATAAAAATGACGCCTGCCTTTAAATGGAGTATGGCAATATTCTTACATCGTATTACATGAAACATATTAACACGAGTGGTGAAAATTAAACGTTAAGTACATTGCATAAGAACTACATCAAACACATCTACTTTCCCTTTTTTTCATGGGGAAAATTATCAAATCCCTGGCCTTAAGTAGGGCAAGATGAAGACTCAGACTCTTATTGACTTAAAACCACTCCGTTAACGTTAACTTATTGCACTGGCACCCATAAACCTGGCTTGTCTACCTTCACTTCTAAGTTTAAAAAGTATGAAATCTATGACGTCATCAATAAAAATTAAAACAATATGCCACAGAAAGTAAACCCTAATGTCCCAACATTATACAAGTTTCCTATTACATAAATTGGTTTAATTTAAAGCAGTTTCGTATTATAACACTAATAATATATTGGACTCTATTACGTGTTGTTACGAACCACCTACGTTAGCAAAATGCGGACATATTTAATACTATATAACTAGCAATAATATTAAAGTGGGTAAAGTAAAAGTATCCGTCTGTCTGTTTAGTTTGCTTAAACTGCTGAGCACTTTCCGATGAAAAACCAAACGGTATTTTGAAACCTAATTTAATAACACATAAGGTAGATTTTATATTTTAATCTTCAAAACTCTGGCCCCTTATTGTTTGGTAAAACAATTAGAAGAAATTCGATACACTTAATTAGTTGCAAGAGGGACAGCTGACTTTTTAGGACGTAAAAAGGAATTCCGACTGGTTTGTGTGACGTATCGCCAAATCCTTTAGAATGTTTTATAAAAAGTTTCTATTGGCGAATATTTCCATTCTCTGCTTAGTCTTCATGACTTCCTTATAAGACCAGTGTCAAGAGTCAAGATGTAGGTACAATATCAAACAAAAAATGCGTAAAAATTTCAACACAAAAGACTTCCTACTAACGAACAATTTCTAGGAAAACAAAACGAGAGTCATAAGTAACAGAATTCAATACGGGAAAAGCCGAAAACGTCATGTAGTATTATAAAAAAAAGTCTGCATAACGTAACAACATAACTTTAGTCCAGACGGGAAATAACGCGTTAGGTAATAGGTTAGGTAGCCTAGTCTAGATCTAGACTATCTAGACTTGCAGGTCACATGGACTGATTGACCACTTCCACAAGCGCAACGTCATAACGACCAATCAACGTGCACCATTTATATAAGGGGTACCTACAGTCGAGTTTTTCCTGAACCAATAATTCGAATGATCGAGAAAAATACACTTGAATTTAAAAAAAAACTAGAGTAGACATTCTTTCCTAGAAGTAGGAAAGATATTTATTTTATATTATAATTATATTTTCATAGGACTCTTCCTAGCTTAGAAATAAAATTATTATAATTAACACATTTTTGTTAATAGTATTATTATAGTTATATTATAAACAAGCAAGAATTAAAACATGGGTGGATGTTTGTTACTCTTTCTCGTAAAAACTACTGATCGGATCGTAATGAAATTTGGCACAGAGATAAATTATATTTTAGAACTGCACATAAGTTATTTTTAAAGCAATTACTGCGACCTAAGCCGTTTGCTAAACTTCTAACTTTCAGAACATTTCGGATAATTCACACAATTTAGAACATATTTTACAAAAATCAAACCACCCTTGTTTAATAGTACAAAATGAAAACCTTATATTTATTCGTTCACAAAACATACATTCTTTTGTTCACTAATCACTATAAATACTTACTAATAAAAATTATCAGAAAAAAAAACTACTAAGGAAGACACAATAAAAAAAGAGATTGAAAAACAGCTCCAAGTGGACTTAAAACAAACGATTCTTTGAAATAATAGAAAAAAATACAACCTGAATAATTCACTTAATAAAAAAATATATTACACATTTTCTTCAGCGATAAACTGGAAGATTTCTGCGAGACACGTACATACGTATAGAAAATGCAATGGCTTGCAAAATATACTTGGAAAATAAAAGACAATTCTTGGAGCAGGGAATACTTCAGTGATAGTAAGGTGGAGATAACGAGACGGTTTCCAGCGCTTGTTGTGTATAACTGAGAGTGTTTTGTTAGTATATAGTTATAGTTTTCAATATAAAATAATATCTTAGAGAATGTTTTTTATTAGAACGTGACTTTTTGTTGTTTAAATAATATGTAAATCTACTTTTCGATTGTTCAGTTACGAGGTTAGAGAAAGACACTTTTAAAAATATAATTATAATTTATTACTTTACTAGCTTTCTCCTGGGGCCTAGCTCCCGTCATTTGACTACCTACATTACCTAGTTACCTACCGTATCCTACCTAACTTACCCAATCCACTAACTTATCCTACCCACTATCCTATCCCATGATCGTTTTTTGGTTGTAATCCACATCCTCACCAATTTTAAACCAAATCAGTTCAGCCGTTCTCGAGTTATAAATTAGTGTTACTAAGACAAATTTCTTTTAAATTAAATATCTGCATATTTATAAGTTTCACTGCCAATGTAATGCTACATTAAAGTTCATTCTATTTTTCTTGAACAAAATGGAAGACTATCAAGTAAGGAGTTCATTAATATAATTATTAACCTAACAACATCTATACTTATTGATATCATCATCGGAATTAACTCACACTAACATGAATCACAACCACTAATCACGAAGTTTATTCAAATAACAATGACGGCTCAAATCATTAATAACATCTGAATATCGAATACAGAATAATAATTCCAGCAAGCGAGCAAGCGGATTACCTGATGGTAAGCAATCAGCGCTGCCCATGGACGGGTGTCCAGCAACACCAGAGCAGTTTGTGCGTTGCTGGCAATATGGGGAATCAAGGATTAGGGAGGGATGGGGGAGACTAAGGATTGGGACTCCGGTAACCCCACACACACGGCGAAACACAACGCTGTAGTACGCAATTTCATGTCGGTTTTCTGGGAGACCGTATCATGAACGAGCCAGCCCAATCGTGCCGAAGAAGCATGGTTCTCTTACACTTGTTTAATAACAAGTTGAAGGAAAAACAAGCATAATCTCATGTTATTTTCAATTAAAACATCCTTTTAACCCAAGAAAATAAAAGCCTGCACTTTAAAAGGGTTTGAGAGACCTTCGAAAAAATAAATTTGCCGTTCATCCTTTCCCGGTACTAAAAATAAATCGCCATATACTCGGAAGACCGGCACATGAAGATATAACAAAAGAGCAAATAGATTTTCCACCGTACTTTGTCGTTATAAAGTTGAATATCTAATAAGCATAGTATACTAATAGGGTAGCTTTATCTGCTG